CGAAACCTCCCTGAAATCTCACACACTCAATAAAAACGAATGTCTTTGCCAACGATGACTATCAATTATTTTCAAACTTTTTTGCAATGTTATTCAAGGGCGCATACATATTTGTACTTTAGAGGCTCTCTGCTACATTTGTGCAGAATCTGGTCTACTTCGTAATCTGTGGATTTTTTTGTTAATTTATGCATGGCGACAAAAACTGAAGTAAGGGGGCCGTATCTGGGTCGCATTTTGATTTTTCGCAGCTATCTAAGCTTGTTGACTGCAACTGTGCTGTCATACGAGGACATCTTCCTGCTTTCTATCATAAAAATTTCAGGCTGTCTTATAACCTCTCCGGATTACAAAATTTCAAGCTTAAAATTCCGCTTTTTGTTTTTTAGGATCGCATCGAAATCTGCGAAAGTCGCATCTAGATATTCTCGAGCTTATTAATCTTCAATGGCTGAAACTTTTTTTATCGATAGCCTGGGCACGTATCAGATAGGCTGTTTGTTACAGCGTATTGTATAGGCTGTTCCTCTCAGTCTTTCCCTGCAATTAGTTACGAATTTTCAAACTACCGTGCTCATGCACGTTCTTGACATCGTTCTGGATGGCGTCGAAACGGTTTCTTTTGCAGGAAAATCTGTGCAAAAGGTAGAAAGTAAGTTTATTCGAAAATATTTTTAGGGCTTCAAAAATATCGTCTTTTCTCACTGCAAAAAATGATGTCGCATACGGGGATAGAACGCGAAATTGCCATTATGCTCTAATGTTCTAATTTCCAGAACCAAAGTTGATATCTTTCGATACCACTGAAACATGAATGAGTTATGCCGAAAATTCGATGACAGAAGAATCCATTATCTGTCACTAGAAAATGAGTATTACAAAATAGTCATAATGACTGAAGTGAACCGTTCCGTAACGCTGAATTTTTCTTGCTTGTTGTTTTATCATTTTTTAGCGTCTAGGTAGAGTACAGCTTAAATATATCATTCAGATCATAATTAATGTTCTGCTTTATCAGATGATGTCCTTTCCATTCACATTTTCTCGACCCCAATGAGCATAGCCAAATCTTTGTAAAATTCTACTACTTATCCAATCTACGCAGAATTATTTGTGAGGTTTTTGAGTGGTGGAGCATCGACTGCATGATCTCCCAATTCATAAGTAGTTATTTTCTGCTAAACTATAATTTTGACTGAGGTCCATTGGCAGGAATCTTTAAGATTTACATTCGTTTATGCAGGTTCGAAAGCAGTGGGGTGGGGTAGGTGTGTGTGTGGGGGGGGGGGTGTAAATGAGGGTCCCGGATCGCATCAACACGCTTGACCCTGCTGGTCTTTTAACTCGTTTCGGACCGGTGCTGCACATGGTGCAGCACGCACCTTTGAAGGACCTTTTCAACGTTTACAGGAGGTTTTCTTTTTGTCCAAGGTTATCAAGTCAAAGGCCTTAGCTCATCCTTTTCGAAAGGGTCTGTAGAGCTGTGCCATCGATAATTTGTTCAGGAGATATGAGGACAAATCGAACATCAATTGCACGAAGTCCGGCAACGCGAACGACGCGTGCGACGTCGCAGCCTCTCTCAGCTTTGAATACAAAGAGAAAAACCGTAGTTCCAATAGCGATGTGTATCGTGTACAACATAGATACTTTTGGATACAATTAGAAACTGAGTTCTTCTTCCTAACTTTCAAAAAAGCACAGAAGTCCTTCTTAGACGACAAAATTCAAACACTTCGAATTCACTCAGAACTCTCGGTATGGATCTTATCTGACATGCTGATTACAGATGTACCACACAATCTACGAATTAAGGTCAGGGCCCGGCACGAGTCGGTTTCTAGGGTTTCTGAAAACGAAGTCTCTCCTGACTTTCGGAAGTTTTACGAAGTCTCCTTTGACTTACCAGCTTAGGAGAAGATGAAAACAAGAAAGATTTACTAGTCTGAAAGAAAAGACGTAAGATAAGAGTGAAAATCCAAATCAGATCTGAATACTACGCATGCATAAGACTTTGGCATTAGAGCGCGATATTTAACAAAGCGAGAAGAAATGAAGGCAAAAAACAAGCAAAGGCAATGACATAATAATGTCTTCATGCTCAGGGATAGATTTTTGACCGGGGAATCCGTCCATGCTAAAAAGATCCGAGACTTATGTGAAGTGACAAAAATATATGCTCCAGACGATCTCAGATCGTTCGGTGGCCGTCTGGAGACGATCTAATCTTGGAAAACGAGTTACTTCACATAAGTTTTCAAATCTTTTTACATAATACTTTCGCAAATAATTTTCTATACATACAGTTCAATTTTGGTATCATATGCTTTTGTGTGCGCTGTAAATAAGCAATTTGTTTATTTGAGCCTTGCTTTTAAATCGCGCGCACTTTTCCCCATGCACGATAGAGCATGTCAATCGTGTGATAACCTGTCCGAAAAGCTTGTGTTCGACTAAATGGCGCTTATTCTTGGTGCTCGGTTCCGACTCGTCAAAAACGATATCGCATTTGCTGTTTGCTTCAAAAACGAAGTCCAGCCTGCTTCTAGACGATCTGTGCCGGGCCCTGATTAAGGTCCCTTTGTTGGCTAACGGCTAAAAGCATTCTCTTTTTCGTCGCGCGCGATTTCGCGGTCCGAAACGTGTTAAGGAAGAGCCAACGTGTGAGTAGACCGGCTTTTGAAAGAATCGCGATTCTGCGGATCCCCTCGGGCGACTGGTAGCTAAGAGGTGCAAAATAACTTTCCAGGGGGAACTTGAAGAGCACAGGCAACCGAAGATACTTGAGCAGCCGAAGTCTCAAAAGTACCGAAGGGACCTCTATAAATGCCACACGCTCTGGCAGCACTACTGGAAAAATACGGGACTCCTACTTCTTTTAGACAGCACATGAAAGGATTTTGTATGGATCGTCGTTTTCTCTAACAATAAGAGAGGCGAACCTTAGTTTTGAAAACTATTGCTTGACAGGCAGGCTGGATGTGACTGTAGCTAGCTACAAGCTTTGCACGAAGGTCCGCACTCGCATAATAAGAACACAAGATGAAAGCCAATCAAAAGAAGAAACTGGTTCGAGGGTCACAAAAATCTGCCGAGAAGTACCTCTTGCTTCTCTTTCCGACTTTCGTCAGTAGTCAGGGTGATGCCCAATGTGATTAATCGAAGTGCGCATGGCTTCGCTTTGGTCTTACCCTTTCAAATCAAGTTTTAACAGTTGTTGAGAGAAACTGTAAGATAATTGCCTTGATATACTTATGCCTAACTATTTCAATTTACTCCCCATTTAGTGGGTGCCTTCCAAGTAAATGCAATTGAAAAACTTTCCTGCCTCATGATCAAAAATGCATTAGCTTCTGACAGTCTTCACTAACCAACGATTGGAGGTTAGCTAAATTAGTCAATATTGGATGCTATAATCGATACCATTCATTTTAGGTAGTATCATTCTGGCTCTTAAATATATCTGAGTGAATGTTGCCTGAAACTTTCACCAATTATAATTTCTGTTTAGATTTGATAGCTTCTTTCTCCTTTTTACTTACTGTACTACTCAGACTTTCTACTTTTTGTATTAGGCGCACTTCTTGTGCATTCAATGAACAAACAAAAAATCTAGCGAAAGTTTGCTACTGCAAACGGTATGATTGCTTGCATATCGTAATCTAGCTACCTTCAACGGCATCGTTAATTTTTCCGCAGTAAGCGCATTGCACATGCCGTTCTACTCAAAAGTGTTTTGCTTTCTCTGTTATTTACAAAAAGTTCAAGTTGACGATTACAGTCTAGCATTTTCCGCTATTGAAGTGTGCTTGCGATGCTAAAGGTAAAATTTGTTCGTCAACAAATAGCTAAACCCCAAGCGCGTGCGATGCTACTGGGGGCAAGTGCATCACAAGAAATCTACTATTAGGTTGTCCGGAAATCAATGCAGGTTTTAAATTCCAACCGCTATAAGTCATACACCTTTCATTTCTAAGTAGGTTGCAAAACACCATTTGATAGAACAAAGCAAGCTCTACAAAATGGCTTTTCTGCTTTAGCAACAGCTCTGGTCCACCACGAGTTTTACGCCAAAAACTAAGAAGATTAAACTGCCCGAAAAATTGAGAAAAATCTTAACTCAGGTCTTTGTAATCCTGCAAAAATCCTAGCTTGCTCACTTGAACACAACCCACATAGAGCATCTATATACGCCGTTGCCGTATTTTTTTCTCCGTTAGAAATCAAGAAAACGGAAATTTTCCTGTATTTGCCAAAGTGATGCTGTGCCGCTCCCACATAAGTAGTTGTATACTACAAACCTGTAGAAGTACAAACGTGGATTTTCACCTCTCTACAAGCTTTAGTTCTCGAAAAATATCGAATACAGTTTTTCCTAGTCATGTGGTCCAAGCTAAAATTCAAATTTCTTGGGAACTTAAACTTGTAGAGAGCTGAAAATTCACGTTTGTACTTCTATAGGTTTGCAGTATACAACTACTTATGTGGGAGCGGCACAGCATCACTTTGGCAAATGCACGAAAACTTCCGTTTTCTTAATTTCTAACGGAGAAAAAAATACGGCAACGGCGTATATAGATGCCCTATGTGGATTGTGTTCACGTGAGCAAATTAGAATTTATGCAGGATTTTTAAGAACTGAGTTAAGATTTTTCTCAATTTTTTGGGCAGTTGAATCTTTTTACTTTTGCTCGAAACTCGTGGTGGATCAAAGCTGTTGTTAAAGCAGAATAGCCATTTTGTAGAGCTTGTTTTGTTCTATCGAATATTGTTGTATGACTTATTGCGGTTGGAATTCCAAACTTGCATTAATTTCCAGACAACCTAATAAATTGGGCATAACTAAAAACCAAGCTGAGTATAGTTCCCTTCAGGATCTAGATATACGCTTTTGGTAAATCTCTCAATCCCGGTGAAGCTGTAATACAGTAATTCACACTATCATAAAGTACGAAAAAACTCTTGCCTGTCTTCTTCTTTTGAAATGAAGGTAAACTTACTGTATGAAATCTTTAACAAAACTGCCCAAGGAAGTTCTCCTCTTTCAGCTCGTCTACCTCCCATTACCTGAGATTGGCGGATAAGAGGGTAGGCTGAGAATATAAGACGATGATGACAATTTTGGGTTGTCATAAATTTTGTCCGTTTCTTTTTATCGGTCACCAAAACTCAGAAAACCCTAGTTGGCGAGCGACTTGGGTAACGTTTGACTTAGGTTTGTATCTTCTTTCTAAAATTTACATCTTCTTTTTGATCTAGGCAGTTTGTCGATGTTACTGCCATGACATTTTGAGCGCCTTAGCTATCACGCAATATGTAATTTTGAGAAAATGTTGTTCTAATGAAGCAAAAAGCACTGATAGCCATCATGTAAAGTAAACCTTTAACTAAATAGTGCTCGCTCCGATTACATAATTCAAGTATCAGAAGTTTGCAATAATTATTCATTTAGGAAAAATTCCCAAGAGCACGTACAGTCCATAGAAGCGTCCGCGAAGCTAATTCCTTGAAGCAATCAAACTTGAGCACAATGATATTTGATGACAGTGAAACTTACTCAAGCTTCCACCTGCACCACCTGTATCCCTTGATCATCGTGTTGCACGGGCGGCTACCATGATGCCTATATTCGTCTTGTCTCGGGCGGTTGTTGACCAGTGTTTGCTCATCGCAGCAGGAACACGCAGAAAGCTCTGAAGGACTTTATTGAAGAACTTCGTAAACATATCTGACCATCGCGTCGGCGGTCTTCCTCGTTTGTATTTAAAGTCCGGTGGTATCCAACCTGTTACAGCTCTCGTCCACCGGCTGTCGTCGAAACGCATTACGTGCCCTGCTATCTTATCTCGTTCTGTTTGGCGCATGCGGCAGCGTCCCTGATTTTCGATCGTTGACGTAAAGTTGAACTTCGATTCCTTGCTTCACTTGCGTAAATCAGTTCACTCCTAGCATCACTCTCTCAACAGCACGTCCAATAACCTGACACCGTGTTCATCCTGCTTCCTCATTTCCATGATTCTGAAGCGTACGTCAAAGCAGGAAGAACCGTTTGCTTGAAGAGGTGGGCGCGGATCCGGATGCTCGGTCTTTTCACACGTACTCAATCGTCTTATATGTTCCCCGTACTACACGTGTCCTCCTGCTCAGTTCCGGAACTAGATCGTTCATCATATTGAGTTCACGAACTAGGTAGGAGTGGCTTGAGCATTAGGTGATGTTCGTCCCGTTGAAGGCACCGTCCACCCAAAATCTCAAATTCAATGTTTTTATCGTCTTGATGCCTTCTGAAAGCCCTGATTCCGAATATGGAGTCGAAAATCCGAGAAACCCCCAAAAATCCCTGTTTCGGGAACCCTCTGCAACAAGTGCAGGCGAGATAAAGCAAAGTGAGCGGAGCGGCCATGGTCGCCCCGTCTACTTTGCTACTTCCGGAGCGGATTTCTCGCTCCAGAAGCAGTCTCTTGCGGCAAAGCTTGGGGGTTTGCCTAGTGTGGGGGCCCACACTAGTATGCCATCATAATCTCGCCAACCTCCATTTTGGATGGACGGTGCCCGTAAGCATGAAAGGCGCATCAGGCTCTTTTCCGTGCCTCATGAACATCGTCTTCGTTAGATTCAGCCCTAGACCGATTTTTCCGCAGACTTCGTCAAACTGGGCCAGCATTTGTTCCGCCTGCGTGATGCTTGGTGTTTTTATACGATGTCATCAGCAAAGCGAAGGTGGTGTAGTTGCCGGCCGTCGACTTTCACTCCCATGTTGTCCCATTCCATTACGCATGACGTTCTCCAGAGCGACACTGAATGAATTCGGCGATATAGTAGTGTCGTCCTTGTCGCACGCCTATTTTAGCGCAGATGATGATGTCTTGTAGAATGGTATGATGATGGTTGTGAAGTTATACAATTCACGAATCATCTCAATATACTGAGTAGGAAGACCTTGATTGCTCAAGACAGATGACAGCTTCAGTCTCAACCAAGTAAAGGGCTTCTGTAAGTCGATGAAGGTGAGACAGAGCCTAAGATGCCGCTCTGTCTCACCTTCATCGACATCGAAGTGTCACTTTACTCTAGTGACACTTCGATGAACCTTGACACCGTTTGTATGTAGTTAGATCCTCATCGCCAGCTTGCTCGAATGGTTGTCTTCGTCCTCTTCCGATTCTGTCAAGAATAAGTCGTTTAAAGAGTTTGTAGACTACGGACAACAGGCAGATAGGGCGATGACTGCCGATGTCGCAGGAATCTCCCTTCTTGTACAGCAACAGGTCTTGCTAATCTTCCATCGTCTCGAAACCGGCCTTCCGTCAGATATCGCATGAAGAGCCTTGTCAAGGTATTGATAAGACTCGTCAAGCTATCATCGACATGATAGCTTGACGAGTCTCGGAAGGAACAGACTGTCCCTCCTTGAGATGTCATGATGGAATGTGGCTTAGCTCGCAAAGAGATCTGAGTAGAAGTAGAAGCCGTGGATGATCCACTATCTTCGGGAAGCAGTTGTGGTTCCGTCAAGACGACGAAGTGCGATCATCTTTGCCTTGTTTGACGAAGCTTCGACATGAGTTGCGTACTTCTTCCAGCCTCGGCGGCGTCATTTATCGCTGCTACTCTTTTCTCCTTGTTGAAGTCTTCTTTTATCGCTTCTCTGCATTGCTTCGAACGTCAGTCGGTAGTTGCCTGTGGCTCGTGCGCGACGTTGGCGTATCAGTCCAAAGTCTTCGCGGTAAGACGCCTCGTACTCCTTACAAGGGAAGCTTGTTTAGTCGAAGTGGCCTTTTTGGATGAGATGTAATGAGATGTATTATATTGAAGGGCATAAAATGTTCAAATTCCAATTTCAAATTTCAAACGCGCCTTCCTTATCTGCATAACGTTATCGAGGAGAAGTTATGAGTTAGAAGCCAAGAATGTTAAAGTTAGAAGCCCTTTTTGTAGCCAAAAATTGAATGCGCATTTTGGATAAAATAAATTGCTGAAATCTTACTAGCCTTCAAATAATGCAACTAAGTATGATATATTTCATTATTTTAGGGTATTTTTTGAATAAAGTGCTCTATCAGTGCTCCATTAAAGAGTTGGAGAAAGTGTCGCGAATAATTCAGTCATACTTGCACATTTAGTTTTTTGCTCCAATAGGCGCTCACAAGTCCTTGTCCATAGATGCTCTGCAGATAGAGAAGGCAAATTTGGAATCAGCATTTTATGCGCTTTAATATGATATACATCTCATCTAAAAAGGCCACTTCGACTAAACATGCTTTCCTTGTTAGACTCTGAGATCTTTGGCACAAGCGTGGAGATGCTGAGCGAACTCGTATTCTTCGTCGATGTTCGATCACGGCATCTCGCCATAAGCCGAATATCGAAGAAAAGAGATTCCAATTGATAGTATTCATGGGACGATGTTTCCCAAACTTGGCGGCCCTCTCTCCATTCCGCAGGAAGGAGAATTTGGAGCGTAAAAGGCGATGGTGTGATCCCTCGTAGAACTCCAAAACGACAGCGACGTCCGTAGGCAGTACTTTCTGATGACGATTATGTGGTCAATCTCGTTATGCATCGGTCGAATCCCAGGTCCAGCGTCGGGAAGGGGGCTTTTGGAACTGTGCGTTTTCATGGATAGTCGTCGTTGTCATGATCAGCTCTAGCAGTTTCTTCCCTTGTTTGTTCTGCCGTAGTCTATCGGTACCTACGTAAAGTTTTGCAGGCGACCTTCTGGCTCCGATATTCGCGTTGAAATCAGCGACGATGATTTTGAAGAAAGCGTGGTCTTTTCCGTGGAAGTGGAACCCCTCCAAATCATCCATACAGAAGGCCTCGTCGTAGCTTGATGCCGGGGCATACGCAAAGAAGACGGTCAAGGTGGGGATTCCACATCTTGATATTCGCAAACGTCCGATTCGGGTTGTGGTTGCTCGAAAGAATCGATGCCCATGGCCAAACACGTGTTAACAGAGACTCCCACTCCACCTACACTTTCACTTTGACTGTCGCATGTTCCTAAAAACGGTTCTTTTCCAGTCTTAAATGTGGGGTTCAGCGGGTGGTGCCTCCTTGTATCGGTCAGTCCAATGACGTCGTAATTGATCTTCCTCGCTTGCATCGTAAGGTCTTCAACAGATCGTCCGACGCCAGCGTCCTCGCTTTGTAAGTACAGATCGTCGTCATTGTTCCTCTCGTTTTCGGCAGCCTAGATCGCCTTTCAAATCTTGTCCCCACTGACGCTGCCTTGCTGGTGGATCTTCCAAGATTAAAGGAGCTTTTCATATTTTTGCTGTGTCGTACAATTATTTTACTCGCAGGGATAGCGTAGTGGGCTCAAGCCCCCTGGAAGGACGATCGCAGCTAACTTGTTAAAGGCGACTCCGAACTCAACTTCCCTACATATTACATACCCGGGAAATTAGCTTTTAGTGGAGGCAGGGAGAGTCCATCCTCGGCTCCGCTTGCCTATCAGAGCAGGCGCGGGTTCACTTCTGATCGGCGATTATCCCCTATCAGCCACCCAAGGACGCCAACGTGGCCCAGCGCTCGAAATGCGCGCTGTGCTGAAACTGTTCCCGGATTTCGAAATCAGTCTGAACGCAGCCAAAAGCTCGAATGGCTTAAACTTGCTGCATTTGCGTGTTTCATAACTTCACAAAGATCAAAATCTCCGGAAAAATCAATGATTGAGGCTTCACATAACAGACCAGAAGAATCAGGAGCGCTACCGTATGGTGCAAAATGCTTAAATCGTGCTTTCTCTTTTCCAAAACACTGGAATTAAATTTTTGAAAATTAGTCGAACTTGAACAGATGTGCGACGGGTGAAGAAACTCAATTATTCAAAAGCATCCGGAAGATTATGGTCTAAAGAATAACCAAAGAAAAGACGAGGAGAATGCGTGTTTAGCATATTGAGGTCTTTAGTCAAGGTTTCGTAGTGGTTTGAAAAAACGAACAAAACTTTCTGGACAAGCTGATAGAATTAAAAGGTCCAAGAGTTGAAAGAGTTTTCAAAATAAAAGCTGGCGCGGCTCGATTTTATTTGATGAGTGAACAAACATTTTTTGGTTCCTCTTATCTTATTCCTTGGGTTGAAGGCTTTGCTGTTACGGCATTTTGAATAGCGTTGCCAGATAGATGAGGGATTCTTAATTAATGTACAACGAAAACATGGCAGATACCTTTGCTAACTAATTTTCTCCCTACCTTTTCTTGCATAAAGTCGTCTTCGTCATCGTCCTGAACGTCATTCTCATTCAACCCTAGATGGAGTTCATCATCGTTAGCATTTGAGTTGTCATTGAAAGAACGTCTGTAAAGTCAGTTCTCAGAAAATGCTGAAAGGAGAAGGAGCTGGTGCACAAAAACTTGTGTTTTTCACAACAAAATTTCTCACTATAATGCCTTAACGTTGTAGATCTAGTTCTGAAAAGGGTCCAGTCTTGCTCATTGAAAAAGAGCTAGTATGTTATTTTAATGGCGTTTATCAGCGCGATTTCGAGTTGAATGTTAAGCAGGGTCAATCGTGGCGTGAGTGTGACACGCACACCTGATGGGTCATGTTGAAATGTCAGAGAATAAAAGGGGTTGTAATCGAATTATACTGTTAACGATAACATGATGATCTTAGTAAACAACCGTCAGTTTAGATGGTTTGAACTTAGGGCCCCAAATGAGACCTGCAAGGTAAATTCACGAGCGGCCTTTGCCTTATGCTATAGGAATGCAATGTTTCACCAGGTGGGTGAGCGTTTGAGCACGTGTCACACTGATCTAACCTTACTTCCGTAAACGTTCGTTTTGAGAACACGAGGAAAACGCAAACGAAACCCAGAGCCAAAAGCCCAACCAAGCTTCTCGTGAGTAACTAGCGGGGCACGTAATCGCTATATATATACAGGGTGTCCCAAAAGTCAGAACACACTTTTTGGTCGTTAATAACTCCTGAGCGCCATTCATTAGAAGAAGCTTCAGCTTAGATTTCTAGTATGGAGCAAACCACCCAACTCTCTTCATTACTGTGGGATTACGGTAGGAACCTCCAGCATATAGCGACATCGTGAAATAGGCGGTTTGCACAAAATGTTTCAAAAAAAATTGCGTAGCATTGTTTTCAGACATGCTAAATTCATCAGACAACCATTCATGAGTTTTTAAGAAATTTGAACGATCCAGTAACGCTTTTGAAAAAAAAAGGAAAAGACGTGTTGCGATTTACTCGACACAACCTATGAAAAAAAATCCTCGGTGAAATGCGAGTTTCATATTGTGATCGACAACTCAGTTTCAACTTACGATAGGGTTTTCTGCTTGTTGAGTATATGTTCTGGGAGTTACATTTAGTCACTTATCTCAAAACCCTCCTACCCTAATTCCACACTAATGAGGAGAGTTGTGTGATTCGTTCCATATTGCAAATCTAAGTTGTAGCCTCCTCTTTTAAATGGTTCAATGGTTCCAAATGTTAACAATAAGAGAAGACTCAGTGGAAATAGAGTAATTAACGATCAAAAAGTGTGTAACCTCGAGTCATTTGTAACTCAATATGTGAGATTGCACGCCCCTATTAGCGATGGCACCCATGCTAGTAACTTCTCAGTAAAACATCTTCCAGCCCAACAAATTGTAGAAATCTGTCCTACTGACTAACATATAACCAACTAAAACAAAAGAACCAAGGAAACAAAGAAATCACTAGGAATGAGCAAGTTTTAGTTTCGCAGTTCGTCAGTTAGCGCGCATAGTGCGCACTACGCATAATAAGTTATTATACAGTTGACTCGACGATACTTACTTTTAGGACACCCTATATAAAGCAGAAGATCTGCATGTCTGCACATTCCCCATAGTCATGAAAAACGAGCGGTCATCAAGATACGGTAAGGACGGTAGGAAGCGAACCCAGGAAGAGTCGGAATTGAAAGGAAGGATAAGTGTTGCTGCATGGGAGGTCAAGCATAATAAATAGACTAGTTCCAAATCGGGATGGATCCCAGAATGCCAGCTTGTATAACGTAATATTGCGGAAAAAAGTGCTCGAAATTGCACAATTCCGGAGTACGGATAGAAAGGATCGATGAACAGTTGATTGCAACCGAAACAGAAAAAAATCAAGTTGTTCTTTTCTGTTGACAAAGTTGCTTGTTATTTTTTTCAAAAACCCGTATTGAATGCAAATTTTTGTTTATATCATTCTACTTCTTTTTAGAATTCTGATTTTTACATGGAAGTTCCTGCTGAAATTTTATGAATTGTTTCCTTTATCCCGCTAAGCGACTGTTGCTGGAAGTCATCATTGATTTTCTGATAGTGGTCGCTACCAAAGGTTGCGCGGCTATGCAGCAAAAAAGGTTCCGCTGGCAATGACATGGCCGAACCGTTTTCATTACAACATGTATCAATGACCACAAACACACAAACAGCATTGTTGCTCCTTTCTTGAGGACGTATTCCCGTTCACATATAAAACGATCGACCTCTAAATCGGCAGCTCGTTGCACGCTGTCTGGGACGCCAAAAAACTTAGGCTTTGTATTTGCGTAAGGTTAACCAGGGCCTGGCACCAGCTGGCACGGGGCAAGCTGGATATCGTTTTTGGGGCAAAAAGCAAAGGGGATTCCGTTTTTGTGGGCAAAGATATACGCAAAATTGGCGACGGCGACCTTTTTTTAGTCGACGTTTTGTTTTTGGGGTTTTTTAAAGGATTTTAGAGGGGACTAGCTGGCTTACCCGGCTCCGCCGTATGTTCCGAATAGAAAATTCCATTTCTTGACCGATCCGGACCAAACTTGGCACACATACCCTTCGGGCCCCGGCGGGTGTCACAGTCCACTTTTCGTTATCGATCGATGTCGATTTTATCGATTTTTTGCAAAATTTGAGCTAGGGGGCTGGAATTTGGCAGGGGGTGTAATCGAGCATGCTGATCACCCCCACGGAGGTGATCAGCATGCTCGATTACCCCCCTGTGCCAACTCCCAGCCCCGTAGCTCAAATTTTGCAAAAAATCGATAAAATCGATATCGATCGAAGACGAAAAGTAGCCTAGTAGCCGAAAGTCCGCAGGATGTTGTGATTCGAAAGTTTGATTTTTTAGTGTTTGAATTTTTTTTGATTTTGCTTTTAAATTTTACGTGGATCAAACTTTGGCGATCGTTCTAATGCAGTCTTGTAAGGTTGCTTTGCTCTATCGATATGTTTCCCACAAGCTTATATTCATCCTACCTCGAGCGAGTAAGAAACCTGCATTAATCTCCGGACGATTTAATAATTAGCTATCTCGTTTTGCGCACAACACGAAGCACTTTTACTTTCTTTAAGTTAGGATCCACTCTAAATTACTGCAGAACTATATTTAAAAGCTAGCCCTTATTGCGCTCCTATTTATATATTTCAAAAGTTGTACTTTAGCAACTAGTACCTAAAATGAAAGACAAATCAAGCTTAAATCATTGTCGTAAAAATGAGATTTGGGCAGTCAAATTTTTTAATTTTTGCCTTTCTTCACAGTAGCGTTCGTAGTACAGCCTTAGCATGCTAACGCAACCCAATGTTTTACATGAAAGTTGAAAATTGTAAACCCTCTAACTTCATTTAGAAAAAATTCCAGATGAAATTTCGATTGTGATGAGAAAAGGTTCAAGGTTCTATAGATTCAAAAAAACAGAAAGTTAGAATACTTTATGAATAGGTTAACGGGATGCGGCACCCTAAAAAGGTGTGACAGCCAACATTTTTTGGCCTCGTACCAACTTCTATAAATATTTTGTCACATGGAACTTTCGCTGCTTATAATCTGATGGCTCATAGCCTGAACCTCATAGTTCTTACGGGAATGATGTATGACTAGTTCACGGCAACAGACTTCAATAGCTGTTGGAAACACAACCACTGAAAGCGGAGCACAGAGGAAGGAAATATCCACTGGTCCTTATTTCATAGTTCAGCGTTTATTCGGAGTAGGAGATGCCTAGTGTGGGCAAAAAATAAGTACTGCTCTGTGGCGAAGGTCAAAAGAGGTAAAAGTTCAACATTTTTCAAAGCTTTTTTCAAGTGGCTTAGTATTTGAAAACCTTGGAGTTCGCTAAAACTCACCCACAGATATACTTGACATGCTAATCATGAATATGTTACTCATTATGCTTCTCAGACAATCAAAGGCTCTCAACCGGCTGCACCAAAAGCGCCGTTGCCTTATCGTCGCCACTTTCGCTTCCCGCTGAGAAACTTTGCTAAAACTGGCAGCGAGCTGGCGGCCATAAAGTCGTCAGCGTGAAGCGAAAGTGGTGGCGATAAGGCAACGGCGCTTCTAGAGGGGCCTGCTGACAGCCTTTGATTGTTTGAGTTGGTAGGTTGCTTGAGTTTTTTAAGTTGTCAATCTGCTGAGCCATTGCGCAAACGCGAGGCAACAACATTGAGGTATTTGTCGGTCTTGACTGCCCTGGATGAGCTGAGTCCAAATCCGTGCAATGAAGTTTCTAGAGACATTAACAACTTGATTTCCGAACGTGACCTGGGGCGGTATGCAACAATCGCCCGTCCAGGTAAGTTATCCGAACAGGTAGTTCCCGCTTCATAGCTCGGTGCTATGGGGATCTGTGTTCTTCCTTGTTTGTTCATCTTTGAAAGCTCTACTACCCTAATATTGTAGCACAATGATTAGCAGCACTTTGCTGTATAAGCTGAGATAACTCGTTATTTGTATGATTCCGAACGGGATCTCCCACTGATCACGCTCTTTTTAAAGTTATTTATACCCGCAAAAACTCAACGAAAACGTAACAGAGTTTGCTGTCCATTTATTACGACAGTGCTACGTATGTTTATGAAAGAAATAAGTGAAAAATCAGGTTGAAAAAATCTTCGCTGAACCTGTGCTCGTGAATTGGGCTTTATCGAAAAACTCAAAACTTGCACATTTCATCTGTGCTACTAAAAATGCGTAGCACTGTCGTAATATCGAAAGCAAAACTATGTGACATTTTCATTGAGTTTCTGCGGATATAAATAACTTTGAAATTGAGCGTGATCAGTGGGAGATCCCGTTCGGGATCATACAAATAACGAATTATTTCAGCTTATACAGCAAAGTGCTGCTAGTCATTGTGCTACTATATTAGGGTAGTAGAGCCTCCAGTGGATGAACAAACAAGGAAGAACACAGATTCCCAAAGCACCGAGCTATGAAGCGGAAACTATCTGTCCGGGTAACTTACCCGGACGGGCGATTGTTGAATACCGCCCCTGATGTTTGCGGAATGAGAAAGTCCGCTCCTTTGTAAAACGACTGGCTGCTAAAGCCAAGAACTTAACTGCCAAAAAAGAATAAATGTATCCAAAGCAGAAATTTTTCCTCTTTTAAGCAGCTATTCTCCCCTATTCTTACGACCTTCATTTTGTATCCAACTTTCTTATTCGAAACAACAGATCGGAGCTTTTGAAAAACTTTCATAGCCAGAAAATAGAGCAAATCTTTTCCAAATCATTGCGATTCTTCAAAATCCTTTAACTTGTGTTTTGATTTTCAAAATATATTTTCAAAGTTTGCTAACATCATCCTTTCTACGCAATATATACGAAAACTGCAAAATTGCCGTGTATCTCAATTTTACTTCTGCGCACCAATGTACCCTAAATTTCAAAATCTCCATTTTCCAAAGCAATTGCTTAATTACTTTGTAAAGTACATGGTAGTAGTGATTGAGATTTGAAAGCCAGTGCTGAAGATTTTGCAATGTCTGATGAGATAAACATTCAGCATTCTAAAAAGGAACCCAGAAAAAGAAAAATTTCTTTATTTGCAAAAAGCTTTCCGTATCTGCCGTTATCAATGTTCCCTTAAAAGTCTCAATCAAAAATGGAAAAAACCAAGCGTTTTAAGCTTTGGGGATAAACTCAACGAATTTCGGAAGGCCGCATTGAGAACATAGTTTTTGGGAAGAAAACTGAATCTGCTTTAGATAAACACAAAGTACTTCTTTATTCTACTTGACGGAACAAGTGGGTCAAAATTGGCAATTTTTGCGCCGACCTAGTGACTACACATCAATCTCTAAAACCTGGTGGAGCCAAGAAAGTTGAGAATACATTAATCACTTAGAATGATGCAATTTTCCACATTCCAAAGGGTACGAATTTTCGCGTTGCTATGGAAGGTCAGTGCTGTGTGATAATCAATTGATAAAATATATGGACTAATTTATCGAGAAAAACTATCTTACCAGTATGACAGTATAACGATTGAGATGTTGTTTTACGGAGTTGCGTTATACTTACAGAAAATAATTTCACTCAATTTTACTTACTTTACTTTCAACAAGTAATGATTTTGAATTTTGATAAGATTGCAGTCATGGCGCAAAGTTTTTTTTTCGTTAGGACAGAAATCTAAGTAAAGGTTAACCATTCCGAACGCAGAAACAATGTCGCTTTTCCAAGCTACAAAAATTAAGTAGAAAGTGAAGCAAGTAAAATTAAGTAAAATTTTTTTTGTACGTAAAATTTAAAACTCAAAAACTTTTACCTGGCCCTAGTTCCAGCTAGACTTTGTGCGGGGTTTCTCATTTGTGTTGTACCGCAGTTTCGGGCATCTGAATTATCTTTCTTGCGGTCATTCGACAAGCTGTGCTCATGCTTACCGTACACAACATAGTGTCCTATCGTAAAATGGAAAATGATTAGAGCACACACATAGTTTTTCATTGTGCTATAATACTTCCTGCAGAAAATTACCACGTTCAAAGTAAAGGATAAATCAGCGATTCCATAGATTTCCAAATTTCCGTGTAGTGCATTCTTGTTTTCGCAGTATGTATGGTACTTTGTGAGCTACGAATGTTGGTGCTCTGCTACTATATAGGCAGCCGGAATATTAATGGGCTACCATGACAAAATAAGCAAGAAATTATTTTGACAGCCTAATACCTTCTTGTATGAGTTAAGGCATAAGCCTTTTAGTGTTCTTTTCTTTGTAAAATAAAAGATTTGCTGCAACAGACCTATGACTTATCTTTAGTCATACATCGAATACAGCTGAAGTATAGCATATGCGCACCCAATTGTCGTTTTTTGTTTTTTTCTACTAAAGAGATGTGTAGATGTTAGCTCAGATGCGAGCACTAGGACTGGAATGCAGCGTATGCGCACCCAGCTGTCAGTTGTTGCTTTTGCTATCACAGTGATATGTATAATTAACAGCACTTAATCGACCGGGCTGAACGCCCGCAAGCGTTTCTCTTGCGAGCCAACATTGGTATTCGCGCGCATAAGTCATCATAGCGTCAGTACTCGGCAGCCGCGTTGCAGGCACACTCGCTTGCGTTTAGCCTACAAGCTACCCGGGCAAATCTGCAGTCGACAAATGTTAGCTCAGATGCGAGCACTCCAAGCATTTTCGGCGTATGAATATAATCTTTGTGTAGTATATGTATGAGTGCTGGCAATGTGCTCTTTAAGCTAGTCGCATCGCTTGCTTGCCGCTTTTGCACATTCTTCTTCTTACACAAATCACACTCATTTGCGCCTTTTTATCCTATTCTGCTCATAATTGTTATTTGAAGCTTTTATCTCACTCTTCCAACGTTTACTCTATCATCCGTCACTGCTACTTTTATCATCTACGTTACTGGTTATCTAGTCTCAAGTCTGTCTCAATTACCCGAATTTACCCCGTGCTCAATCCCGGTGACACAGTTTCACATTGTCATATAACTGAAATGTCTTTTGAAAGTGGAACTAAACGTTTACATAAAGATTGCTGAAAAGGGCCGTTTGCTTTACCTTGAGATGTCGTATTACCTAAATTCGTAATCTATCCGGTCTTACATACCGACAAGTTTGAAACTCTACAAACGTCAGTAATGCTCGATCTTGCTAGAAATGCTTGTGTAATTAACCTAAGACCTTATGATATCAGCATCACCAGCGTTAATGTGACCTAGTAGAAGCGAAGTCATAGAATCTTTCGATGTTACTTTTCTCTATACAAACGTGTCTGACTCAGCTGCGCTACAGGCTGTGTTCGAATTGCTCAATGAGAGAATCGATAACATCCGTTTGCATGGATTTACTATCCAACAGGTCATGATGCTGTTGAAAGGTTGTCTAGACTATTCGATTTTTCGCTGGTCGGGGGCAATACTTCAAGCAGGGGACACGCTGTGGGGCAGCGTTTGGCTCCTGCGATAGCTGTATGCTTCATGTCTAAAGTGGAAAAGCCAGCACTTGACCGCTTTCCTACTCTCTACTACCGGTAGATTGATGATTGCATCATCGTTTGTCCAACTCAAACGAAAATGGACATGTGCTTTGACCTACTCAACAAGCAATCAGCTGACATCCGATTTACAGGAGAAGTACCGAAAGAGGGTTGGCTACCATTCAATGTTCAGATCTGCTTGAGGAGAGGGTAGTGTAGAACTAGTGGTACAGGAAGCAACCAGTAAGAAAATCCTCGTTCATACTTCTAGGCGCACATTATGAGAACTAAACGCAGCGTCGTCGGTAACATGCTTAGCACAGCTAGGGCGGTATCGTCGGACGATGATTTCAAAGCCGCTTCTGTTAGTAGGGCACTCCAAGTAGCGCAGGCTAACGGGTACCCATTCAATAGAGCGAGAGGAAGCCACATCAACAGATCAAGTGACGAGAATGGTGGTAAGGTAGCATTCTGCCTCCCCTTCATTTCGGATGAGTTCAGTAAAGTTATCAGGGCGTAAAGTTATCAGGGCGTACGAAAATCGGGATTGCAAGACTCACTCAGAGTCGTTAAGATTCCTCCTGCTAATCTTAAGTAACGTTTAGTGCGCAACAGAGGATATGACCAAGCATGTAGCGTTCCTGATTGCCTGATTTGCGCAACAAATACTATAGGAGATTGCAGGCGCTCTGGTATGGTTTATCTCATTACCCTTAAGCTATGTGGGGAGGAATATGTGGGAGAGGGGAAGGCCTTTATGTGCTAAGATCAAGGAACACATAGACGGGTTGCGAAAATTAAGGCTATCAACCCCCTTGGGCACGCATCGCAAGCTATGTTACCAGAACACAGAATTCGATGTTTCGTGAACATTCTGTCACGGGAAACCGAGGTGTCAGCACGAAAGGCGCTCAAGGCGTGCTGGATTCTATCCCGAAATCTCAAAATGAACAGAAAAGAAGAATGCACCGCTGTAACGACTGATCACGCGCCATTAAAGGCAGTGCAGAATGAGACCCGTGGCAAAAGAATGTCACAGGGTAGGAGCCCCCATAATGGAACCTATGGGCCAAAGTTCGGTCTCTCTGCCACTTCTAACCCCCCAAATTTCAAAGCGAAAGCAGCGCTCATCTCCTGTCCTCTCCAAACCCGCCCACCCCATGGACGAGTGATTTCCACGGTCAGAACGCCAGCCGCAATGCTATAAGCATGAGGTCCCGCAACGACTCTGCGTCTTGGCCATGACCGGCTCCGCGTTCACTCGTCCATGGGGTGGGCGGGTTCGGAGAGGACAGGAGATGAGCGCTGCTTTCGCTTTGAAATTTCGAAGGTTAAAAGTGGCAGAGAAAGATCGAACTTTGGCCCATAGGTTCCATTATGGGGCCTACCCTGTGACCCTGTTTTGCCACGGGTCTCATTATGCCGACGCACTGCCTTTAATGGAGTTATGCAAGTTTCGATCTATTTGTAGCCTCCGGAGACTTGCCTCACTAATTGTTAGCGCACTCCAGTCAGCGTTGGTTTTACCTCAGTCTGACAAAAAAGGTGAGCTAATAGTTCTAGGCCTTAACAGGAGTTTATACAACTTCTTAGACTTTTTCCTGCGAGTGATAAGATGTTTGACAAGTTAATTCCTATGTTCCTCACTTTATAGGCTCTGACGAAGCGACTAGGATTGCATTATGACACAAAGATGTTTCATCACGAGCATTAACCAAGACTTTAGAAAAGAGAGCCAAAAATAAAAAGACCTAACATCTATTGTGCGAACATGCAGGCTCCTAACACCGATCTTCAATGTAATTGAAAATTTCGATACGGACCGTTGCTAGTCTCTTTACTAAAAAGCTCACGCCATTGGGAACAATCTTGAATTGTACTTGATTGGCAGCTGCCCTAACTAGATGGACTAGACGAGTTTATGAGATATTATGCTCTTATCAGTTTAAAGCACAATTAATGCACTTTCTTATTCTCTCACTGCAAAATTTATAGAACCATATCATTCAAGAAAGTAAGGTTACTTAAACATAACGTTTAAACAATTGCAGAAGTTCGATTCACCCGAAGATTAAAAGAAAAGTCAATTTTGTAGGCACTGTTCAAATGCTTCAAAGTTCAGGTAAAAAACTTGTTGCGGATATTTGAGTTCCATCTTGTAGAACTTGCTCTACTCTGTCGAAAAATACTTCCTCACTTTTATTCGTGTTACAACATGTCGCGTTATTGCGTGTTAGCTGATGATGCAACATAATTTTTCAAGCGAAAGATAATGTGCGCACTTGCTGTACTTTTTTATTGATAGAAATTGAGAAAAAGAAAATTGGCATGCTTCAGTGAATCAGCTGGACTGTTTCGACACAAATTATCTATACTACATATACGTGCGACAATATTAGCCTTGTTATCAATGCTTGTTTTGATGCAAAATTGCCAATTAAATTAACCGTGACAAAGTGAGATCGCCACTGAGAGTTTTTAAAGCCAGTCAGTCATTTTTCGGCGTAACAAAGCAAAATTTCACGCCAAACTATCGAGCAGTTGAAGAAAATGGGAAGCCAAAGGCTTTGATTTGTGAAAGAACGCGAACAGCCCGTTCCTGCTCAAATATATTAATATATCCTATTCGAAATTATATAGCGAATCGAAGACAAAAAGACATTATTCTATCAGAATAAGTTTAAAGGCGTAAAGAAGAAAGAGTAGAAAAGATTTGCCAAACATATTGAGTGCCTTCCTGGAGAACGTCATACACACGTCAAGATGAGACGAAGAAGGAGGCAGAAGTTTATGTCAGAAGCTACATCACAATCGCTGTGCTAGTGGTATCGTTCTGGAATGGTGTCCACGAAAGTTCCCGCGAAACGGGTTTTTCGTGCGAATAAATTGAGCTGGGTTTGACTCAGATTTACGGTATGGAGCGAATTACCGATCTCCCTCTATTATTTTATTATTACGGTAGGGACTTTGAAGAGGGTTTCGCGTCGTTGAGGGTCATATTCTTCTTATTCTTTATTTCAGCCAGATATCACTTAATCACCTGGACACTTTTTTCTTCACGAAATATAGACTAAGTCCTCAAAAAAAGAAAAAAAACCAACGACACATGAAGTAAAAGAGAACACGACAAGTATGGATCCGAATCCAAAAAACATAAAAGAATGGAAATCCTGTTTGACGAGAAAGCCATCATACTTTATAATAATAAGGAATGTTACCTAACTTAGCTCGGCGTTTTGGCAAAGGACATATATATATTCTGTATCAGCTTTAAGCGCTAATTCACATATGCTATTCCTAGCTGCCGCCCACCCTTCCGAAAAGATATGGGCTTCTTCCTGTGTAAAATGGCATACAACTGAACATGGGAAGACAGACTGTAGATAGAAACATGCAAGAAGAAGTTGCTGTAATATCAAAACAACACAAATACAATCTTTTCTCATTAAAAAGAGATTTAACGCAAGTGTATTAGCACCTTTAATGATGAAGCTGTGATGCCAGTGAGCCGATGAGTATGCCGATTTTGCGCAGGAAAAAGCCCATAAAGGCAGCGGATCGTCAAAATTTCGTTTTCAGTTCTTCATTTTTTCGGGGCCGTCTCGCCAGAAACCCATATCTACGCTTTCAGCGCATGAAAATGGCAAAAATGCGCTTTTTCCGAAGCTTTCCAGGTCAGCCTTTAATACAGAAGTGGGCGGGGCTCGGAACGAAAAAGGGGGGCGCGGCTTTCTCCGACGCATCTTCACTGAATGCAGACCTAAAAAGCCACGAAGAAGCGCATTTTTGCCATTTTCATGCGCTGAAAAGCCCAGATATGGGTTCCTCGTGGCATGAAGGCCCGAAAAGGTGAAGAACTGGAAAACGGAAGTCTGCCGGGCCGCTGCCTATAACTCGCTTCGAAATAGTGCGCAGCAGCTGGAAATAGCACATTTGGAATCAGCGTTTGAAGCTGATTCAGATACATATGTCTTTTACCAAAAAGCCGTGCAAAATTCCATTTCTGAACCGATCCGGACCAAACTTGGCACACATACACTTCGGGCCCCGACGGGTGTCATAGGCTACTTTTCGTCATCGATCGATACCGATTTTATCGATTTTTATCAATTTTTTTGCAGAGTTCACTTACGGGGCTGAGAGTTGGCACAGGGGGTAATCGAGCATGGGGATTCCGAATACAATATTAGTTTTCAGGATTATCGATTACTTTTGTCGATTTTATCAATTTTTTTGCAAAGTTTGAGCTGCGGGGCTGGGAGTTTGCACAGGGGGGTAATCGAGCATGCTGTTTACTAAAACAGCGGGAATAGTGATTTGGCATGTAGGCGTGGGCACAGGGAAAGGTTCGTACAGGAATAGGGATAGTGTTCTTTGACATAGTGTTTTGACAGGGCCGGGCGGAGCCGGGTGAGCAAGCTGGTAGCCAATATACACTACATACAGAATCGCAGGGGCTACATGACAGACACAGAGAAAGCGACGTTATTTGGACATTATACACGACTAGGACTTCAAAATTTCCGTAAAAAAATTGATTTCTTCTACATATAATCCCGCTTCAATCATTGCCAAGTGAATATATTAGGTTGTCCCGAAAGTTTTGTCGGTTTCTTTCATCGATCACTGAAACTCGCAGAACACCAATTTCCGAGTAAGCTAGGTACCATTTGATTCAGATTTTTATCCTCTTTCGTATAGCTATATTTTCTCTCTGATCTACCTTGTCTTTGCTATGTTATCGCCATGGCTTTTTACGCAGCTAAGCAGTAATGCCAAATCTTTCCTGAATTTTGAGATTTTTTATCCCAATGTTTTCAAAAAGCGCTGGTAACTGTTATGTAGAGCAAACCTTTGGCTACATTGTGATTATTTTAGATTACATGGGCCACATTTACCAAATCCGTTATAATTAACCAGTGCGTCACCTCTGCTTCGCAGAGGTGATTATTGGTGACTTTTTGATTAAGTTTACCACGTAGAAGTACTGAAAATTCTAAAAAGCTGCTTTTTCAAGGCAAAAACTTGGTCATGTTGCATAATAATGTATAGTAAGAACCATTTTTCAATTCACAGAAACTTTGAGACCTTCAGTGTATTTGCTGCAGTTGCGTGTTTCATGACTTTGCCAAAAATCGAGACCTTTGAAAAATAATTTTTTTCAAGCTAAAAGCAGCAGAATAGGAGAATCTAAAAATACAGCCATGTAGTCCGAGAATTGCTCTATTAGAATCATACTTAATCATTTTGGAAACTTTGGAATGAAATTTTCAAAAATTAGCCGAACTATGAGCAGATAAAATTCGCGCATGGAGATTTCTAACAGATATCGAAAAAAGCATACAAGATTGTGGCTCGTGCATGTATCCATAAAAAAGAAAGAAAAAGCTGCATCGAATGCATGTTGAAACTCATCCAGATGTTTATTGTGCGTGGTTTTATAGTGGTTTGAAAAAACTACAAAACTTTCGCGACCTAATATATATGTATGCAGACTATATTATAAATGGAATGCGGATTTATTCCATATCGCTGCTCGGCAACCGTCTCATTTTGGAGTGATGTACTGGCAGAAGTGGATAACGTACCGGCTTCTAAAATCAAAATATTAGTGTTAAATAATTTTTATTACATTAGACTAAAGCAATCCTCATAAATTTGTCAAAAGATTTTTTTCCTCAATCCAAATTATGTGTAGTGTTGCAGAATTTCAATATACACATGTTATACATGAACAATCAAATTTTCGAATTTTTGCAAATTTTTCCGAATAACTTTGGGAAGTTTCTAATTTTGCTTATTGAAGCACATAAATTCCAAACCGCCTTAGTATTACTACCAATGCTCCCAGAGGTCCACAAAAATGTAAATGGATGGAAAAGAAGAGCAAAATTTTAAAAACCTGTCCAAAAGTGGGGCTTAGAGTGCCCCTATAGAGCTGCCTTTATATCTGCTGTAAGTCATGTCGTGAGGGCATAAATGGTGCTAGCCAATATGCCAAATATGAGACCTTATCAAATTTTAAAGTTTCGAGACGAAGCCCCTTCGATCTTAAAAATTTCGTAAGAACCTCTTTGACCCTAAAAGTAAAAAACACTAAAAAACGAAACGTCGACTAAAAGTCTAGTTTTTGTGCATTTTCGGCAAACAACTTTTTCGCCAACAAAAACGATATCGCCTTTGCTTTTTGTCCCAGAAACGATATCCAGCTTGACCCGGTGCCGCTGTGCTGAGCTTGCAGAGGAAGATGAAGAAAATGTAACAACTCAATAAAAATCCACTGTGTTGATTTCTACCAGAAGCATATCTCACCATTGTTCTCCACATCTCCACCAACTGGTACCACTGTATTGGACTGCATGTGTGTCTTCAATTTCTGTTCAGGAAGCCATTGTGGACGCATCAGAATATAAATTCTTCTGAAAAACTCGTGTTGCACTGAGAATACTTCTGACAAGGGAAGGGCCCTCGATCTAGCTGGGGTTCCCAAACGTGATGCATACCATTGTGCTGGTTTTGGGACGGTAATAACACATCCACCTCCCATAGCTGCTCAATGAACTCCTGGGAAAAGTTTCCCCAGGATGACCATGGATCCCTTTAGTTAACGGCGCCGAGAAATGTCAGTTGTGAAGGAATGGCCAAGTGGATAGCTGTGGAGACTGTGGAGGAAGTAGTAAAAAGTTCGGAATACTTATGTTCCAAACATTCTTCCATTTTGCAGATTGGATTGTTTGATATGTATCGTTAAAGGGCCCTAAGGCAGAGAAACACCCGGCACTCGTTAAGTAATTTGCAAAATGGAAGAATGTTTGGAACATGAGTATTCCGAACTTACTACTACTTCCTCTACAGTTTCCACAGCTATCCACTCGGCCATTCCTTCACAACTGACATTTCTCGGGGCCAACTAAAGGGATCCATGGTCATCCTGGGGAACCATCGCTCGTAACTTTTCCCAGGAGTTCATCGAGCAGCTATAGGACGCGGATGTGTTATTACCGTCACAAAACCAGCACAATGATATGCATCACGTGTGGGAACCCCAGCTAGATCGAGGGCCCTTCTCTTGTGAGTAGAATTTGTGACTGACCCTTATCTGACAACAACGAGCACTTGAAGGACTCCTCCAACGAAAAAGGCAAAGCCTGGCCACCATTCTAGGGTCGCAATATAAATAAAGGTGAAGCTCAGAGTGGAGCTCATTGGTCAATATGCCATGATTGTCGAGTGTACTAAAATTTATCGATGAGCTCGTAGCAGTATGATTCAGCATAAGCAGTCACTTACCCGTTAATAATGCGCTGTTTGCTCTCTAGGAACCACACGAGGTAGAAATGAACGGTAACCAAGAGGAATTTCGCCACACAGAATGCCAAATGCGGAGGCTAAAACATGAAAAAAATCCGACATTTTTCTGGGAACTCAAGAAATGACAGCGCCACAAAAAGAATTTTCTATCGAAAATGATGTGTATAGATTAGAAAACTCCTTCTGCCTATAAAGAAATTCGTTTTTCACGACTCACGAAAACTTCACTTTCAAGTCAGTGTTTGTCAAAAACGGTGTATATTATCCCTCACTAACTTCATCAAAGAAATGGCGAAATCTTTAGGCTCAGCTTGCTCTATCTCCAAATAGAGAAATGGGACAGATTTTCCAAAACTCGAATCACGGCGAGCAGAATAGTAATACTTTCCTGCTTTGGTAGGTGCCAGAGTAAGCGAATATTTTGTTCAGGTTGGGGTCCCGCGCAGAATTCTCCCTCACCATGCTGGTGTCAATCCAAGTGACATCAATTCTGCGCGGGACCCCAAACTGAACAAAATATTCGCTTACTCTGGCACCTACCTTTTGGGCGCTTTTAAACGCTTCTGAGCGAAGTCAGGCCGGAGCCTAACATCTCCGATACGGGGCATATTACTTTTGCAAAAGTTTGACTGCACTGTCGAATCTCCCTCGAAAAATTCATGCACGCATAGTAGTCCTCAACTGTCGCTGACAGGGCCCGGCACGAGGTGGGCAAACGGGGTTTTCCAAAACGAATTCCCATTTGATCCCAATAAATTTTACGAATACCCCCTTGAGCCCAAAAATGACGTTTCGTGCTTGTACGACGAGATTGCCGGCCACACTTCGCCTAAAAGCGCTCAAAAGCGCCCAAATTGCTCAAATTCCTCAAATTACTCCTCAGCTGTATCAAAATAGAAAACAGGAAGAAAAATAAGCAAGAAGAATGATTAAGGAATGAGAAAATATCAAAGAAACGCAGTCATAGGAATGAGAGACGCCGTTCCCGCGCGTATTGATTGACTGGGGCGCGCTTTCTATCTTTTAGGGTGAACGGTAAAAAATGGGACACCTTGAGAATAATTGCAGATTTCTCAAGGAAGAAAAGTGACTGAACTTTCCAATTTTGATGGATATTAGAATAAATTATTCTCTTTCAGATAGCACCTATATAAGGTCATTTATATAATTGATAATTTTTATACTTGCTAAAATGCAAAGTTAGTTACTTCGAGAAATTATGAAGTTTGAGCAGTATCGGCGCAGTAAAACATGTGAGACCACCCAAAGTACCACTGCTGGAGTGGGTGATGGGACAGTTACCAAACCCATGACGGCTTGGTGGCTTTAACTCTTGATGTCAGGAGATATGCCCATTAACAGCTTCGAGAACAAAGATACGCGTTATTCAATTCTTTGCAGGTAAACGCACGATTTCTAAATATCATCTGATAGAGCTTTTTACGCTCTATCCACCCATATGCAGCTTACCACAGATTTTATCTATCTTCGGAAAATATAGGGCAAAACATGATTTTTTGGTTTTTTGTTGCGCCAAAAATAGCTATTTTTCAAATTTGTTCGACTTTTTCTCCTGAAATTGAAAAGAAATCTCACTCATTTAACATATCGTTCGAAAGAGCATGAAGAGCTCTTTCGAATGGTATGTCATTTGCTTCACGACTTTACGGTATAACAGCGCAAGATTGAGGATTGCTCAAAAAACCCTGTTCGAGTTCTTCACGGCGCCACATGTAGGGTAGTGGAAGAGGAGCGTTAACGCGTTGTCAGAATAATAAGCGAAGGTCGCCCATGTAAGTGACGTTTAAGTTGCCGCTTACTTGCTGTTGCCCGAAACAAAAAATTCCAAAATGTAATGCAAATCAAGCTGTCCCATTTTTTACCGTTCACCCTAATAGAAAGCTAGGCTGCTGATGCGATTTTGGGCTCTAACAAGGACAAGAGAAGGAGTTTCGGAACCAAAATTTCACCATGTAGTAAACTTTAGGTGTACAACAGATTTATGTAAAAAATTTGAAAAAATTATGTGAATTGAGAGTTTTGCCGACCTCAGGTGGGAATTAGGTCGGCAAATGCCGACCTAATTTGGAAATTAGTTAAGCACGCTCTTCATTCACATAAGTTTTTCATAATATTTCGTACTTTATTACTTAGTCCTATTGCGCATATACACACCGAAACTCGCGCGATTTCGTTACCTCTGCGTTGCAAACGAGCCATTTTTCCATTTCTTTAGTAGCGCAAAATTTCCAGAAAAAAGTTTGCCACAACCTTCAGTCACATAATTTTTCAATGAAACTCCTCAGTCAAGCCCTGCAAGCCCGTGTGCATGTACTTACCAAGTTTCATACCATATCGTTCATCTGCGCGTTCCAAACGAGCCGTTTGAATTCACATCTTCATTTACCAGTTTTGCGAAATTCTCGGAAAAAATGCTAATTACTCGTTCCGTTCACATAAGTTTTTCATAATTTTTCATACTATGTTTCCACTAGCCCCTCTCCGTTCGCATACAAAATTTGGTGCCATATCGTTACACATACATTGAGAACTAGTCATGTATGCAGTTACAAATAGCATCGCTTGGGCGACGTCGCGCGTGCGGCAATTAACGACGGCGCGGTTTGACGCGCGCGAACTCCAGTGTTCGCCTGTTGAGGCACATAACATGTCAAGATAACTAGCGAGCATGAACTACCAATTTTTTTCCGGGGCTCCGCCCCGGACTTCGCAAAAACGATTTCCTCTTTGCTTTTTGGCCCCAAAACGATTTCCAGCTTGTCATTTGCCGACCTCGTGCCGGGCCCTGGTCGCTGACGAAAGTGAGATTTTGCGACTTTATGAAGACTGATGATTCTCGTGAATCGTGACCACCCTATGCGTGGCGGCCGCTTACATCTATGCGTGGCGGTCGCTTACATTATAGGCACTCGCCATATGTACTTGATCCGCTTAATCCACTTGATCCGCTTGATCCGCTTCCTGCAAAACGCGCGCACCTGCAGTTTGTCATTTGACGTCGCGTACAGCGAAATTGCGTAACCATACGAAATTCCTTTTTCCCTACGGGGCGTCAAATGACAAACGCAGGTGCGCGCGTTTTGCACGAAGCTGATCAAGCGGATCAAGTGGATTAAGCGGATCAAGCGGATCAAGTATGGCGGGTGCCATAGAAAAACAAGATTTCTGCGCCGATAAAATCAAAGCAAAAAAGCGACTTCTTCGCAAAATGAAACCAAAGAATGAAGAGAGCAAGGAAATAACAAGTACAAAAACAAAAAATCTAATGTCTTGCGATAAACACTCACCTTCAATGATGACGTTGAATGTCCTGTCGATATCATTATAAACGGGGAAACGACAGTCATACTTGTCCGCCTTGTCCTGCGTCACGTTGAACACTAAAAAATAACTTCAAAATTTGAGTTAACGATTCTTTATATATTGGATTGAGGAACAGCAACAAAAAAATCTGTCTGATGAGAAAATTCGAACCGAGTTCAGGGCTTTTTATACACTAGTCCAGCGAATGCGATCTACTCAAATTATGTAGATTTTATTCATTACAATATAAAAACCAAAACTTCGGAGCTTACTACGGTATTCTTCTCTTATTCTTCCATTCTTTCTAAAATACGCTCAAAAGTTTCTCTGCAAACAGCGCAACAACAAAAAAGAAATTTTGTCCCTAATCCACAAATGTCCACACATCTATCTATCTAATCTATCTAATATGTAAATCTAATGAGAATCGTTAACTTAAAAATCTGCAAATAGCGGGAAACCGAGGCGGGTCCCGAAGCGCGCGTCTGCTAATCTAGCACCATTAGATAACTTTCACTAGAGTTTTAAGTCATAACAAAAACGGCTAAAACTTACAAAACAAAATGATATAAAGAGGTGGGAAAATGAAAAGCTGCCTCAGCACTCAACATTGATCTAAATCCAATTAAACCACCTCTCATGGACACTTTCACTCGCTTAGCGTGCAAGGATGAACATAGCGCCCGCTTATCTCAAAAACTGACGCGTTGGTCACTCTACACTCATGACAATGAAAAAAATTAGGTAATCGAAGATTCGCTCATTTGAAAGCTAACTATAACTGCACTAGGTTGCGTTTCATAAGTTTGAGTCAACATTGATAACATTGGTAACTAATCTAGTCCCATAGCATGAAATATGAGAATGCACACAGCTGTAAATTGACTCCGGATCGTCTTATCACAAAAAACATGTGCCAGCTCACATCTGTTCGAAAAGGTCGAGTATAAGTGCAGGAATGTTCTGCTGCGCTTTGCCTTCACAATGTCCATTGTCGTTTACCATCCCCGTACTACCTGTGATTCCCAATAAAATCAAAAAAAAAATTAGGATTGTTGAATAACACTCACACCATCCCAACTTCCTGCAGTCAGCAATGGTTTTTCATTTACAACAGGGCTAAATCGCAATACTTGAACAGTATCATCTGGCGAGCCTACAACCTATAAATCCATGCAACATAATCTACAAAAATGCCTAATCTCAAGTGATCACTCACAAAAATATCTTCAGAATTCGGATTTGTAGCCGTATTAGTCGTAGTGCTGCCGAATAATGATGGGTTAGCTGCAAACGTAGAGCTGTAACTCAACATCTAAAAAGGATGCACTAACCTGTTACACAACGAAAAAAAAAACAGTTTTGACTCATAATCTACAACGATTCAAAAGTCAAAGATTATGCTATGGAGAAGAGAAACAGAACGTGAATACTAACTTGACCTGCTGACATTATTTTAGGACTTGAAAGCAAAAGAACAGCAAAACGCAACATCAAAAATCCATATCTCCGAAAGATGCATCATATCCAGTATTACATAATTCAAGTAGCACATATATAGACTAGGTGATATGGTAAGCATACTTCGAACGACGGAGGTTCAGGAATAAAAGAATAAGATTCTTGGCAAGCTGGTGATGCCGAAAATCTGGTGCTTCCCAAAGCCACCAAAAGCAAATGACTAACCATCCCTTTTGAAAAGGAAAGCACTAGTTGCACTGAAGAGGTTGTAGTACAGAAACAGGGCTTGAAGGTTTCCTGTCCATTGTTTCTTCTCTACTAACGAGAAAAAGCGGATTCCAAAGACTACTAATGAAACTCTACTCTGCGAAAAGAAACTTCTTTCTAGACAGGCGACTATATTATTCTCATCCCTCAGTTTCGAAATCCTCTCGATAAATCGGTTACAAAATTTTGTTCACGATAGCAAAATTTCAACAAAAAACAAAATGCTGAACACTTAGCAGAATTTCCTTTATAGAAAAAAGGAGAATGGATGTTCTACAGTACTGATAGACGGAAGAATTCCGAATTGTGATTGATGAAACTGCATTAAACTGCGGCATAATAAATGACCTAGTTACCACCTAAGTCAAATATTCAGCGGAAGCAAATGTAACGATAAGAAAAAGGAAGACGGAGTACTGCTGAAAAAGAGTCAAACTGAGGAGTTGCTTAGAGTTGCCACTCTTCGGGAAATGTTGAAACAACGGGAAAGAGTGACAATAAACAAACAGCAAGCTTATTTAGGAGAAAGCGCAGGCGTTTTTAACGTTTTGAAGCGTTGTTTGGTACTGTAGGCGGGTCCCAGCACGATTATCAGGTCGTGAACTTGGCGTACTCGAGCTCTAGTCTCGTGCCATTTTTCTGCGTCTCTCACCATTGCCCACTATCTGAGGAGAAACGTCGAGCTCGTGTACGAGCTCGTGAGATATGTCATATCTAAGATCACGAGCTTTAGCTCGAGCTTAGTTAACGAGCTGTTCTTGACGTGATTCGACGAGTGTGTTGAAGGATAGCCGGTGAACTGATCAATGCATTGAGGAATGAAACTAAGCTCGAGCTTATCTTGCGACCTCGTACGTTACGACGTAGGGGGGATTACTACAGGTCAAGATGTACAGCGAAACATTTTGCTGTACTGCACAGTCTGTAGAAAATTACAGAGTGTTTTCATTTGTAGCGTCCTACAGTTGCAGCGGTAGAATTTGTCCAAAACTGCGGGATTGTCGGGATTCGCGGGATTGTTGGGATTCGCGGGATTCGCGGGATTCGCGACTTCACGGGATTTGCGGGATTCGCGGGATTTGCGGGATAAGCGGGATTTAGCTATAACTTCTTTTAAAACAGCTTTATTTGTAATCTGCGTGAAGATTTGGCTTCAGCTTGGTGAGACGAATCTTTTGATATACAGTATGTCCGTAATTCGTGGTGACGGGGTAGACATACAATGATGCCTTGTTGTTTTCTATGTTAAGGCTTTTGTGGACATTTATCACAGCGTTAATCGCGATTAGCAGGTTCTGGAACAAAGTTCTCATTATCGAAAACTATCGCGAAAAATTGGGCAGTTTTTATTCACCCTTATTACTCACTATAAGCATTTTATCATTTATCACTGATAATATCACATTTTTGGATCATTTTTGGCATATGGTAAGTAAAGTACTGTAGGAAACGCTGAGTGAATTTCTATCGCTCTTTCTCTAATTATAAGTGATCGAATTCGGGCCCTTTGATTTTTTCTCGATCTGGGCTCTGAAGTTCGCGGACGGGTTTTGGCCAAAATATTGATGATCATGGATTGGCCGGAAACTTCGCCCCCAGGGGTTTTCGAACTCGCTGATTACGAAAACAGTGCTATTTGTGCAATAAGTTTTTCTTAGCAGAGTTATACCGGGTGAGCTGTCTCGAAACCAGGGAAGATCCCACTTTTGCCTGCTCTTTTCGCGTATTTGTTGAACAACTCACCCAGTTGTCTTTATAGCTAAACATTAACAGAAGCCGTGCTATTGATCCTGGTTACTGCAGGCCTCCTTCTGTAAGAACTGCCCAGTTACGAGCTCACGAAATCATGTTCTCATGAATTATGCACAAAATTTGAAGATCGCCCACTTTGTCCAAATATGGTCCTGGTTGGATGTATAACACGCTGTTTGCAAATGATGTTTACTCTGCTCAAGAACTTCTTCTGTAAAAGGCAGATAATCGACGTATACAATATTTGAATTTCAGAAAATATTCTTGAGAACGTGATTTCGTGAGCTCGTAACTGGGCAGTTCTTACAGATGGAGGCCTGCAATAACCATGGATCAATAGCACGGCTTCTGTTAATATTTAGCTATAAAGACAACTGGGTGAGTTGTTCAACAAATACGCGAAAAGAGCAGGCAAAAGTGGGATCTTGGCTGGTTTCGAGACAGCTCACCCGGTATGACCCTGCTAAAAAAACTTATTGCACAAATAGCACTGTTTTCGTAATCAGCGAGTTCGAAATTCCGGCCAATCCATGATCATCAATATTTTGGCCAAAACCCGTCCGCGAACTTCAGAGCCCAGAACGAGAAAAAATCAAAGGGCCCGAATTCGTCGGAAAACTGGCGCATAGAGGTTATTTGACCTGCTGATCACGAAAAACACACCTGCTTTGCAAATTAGCGCCTTACTGTATGGTTACGGCAGCTAAAATTTTAAAGGCATAGATATTTCCAAAATTCATCGACCTATCTTTCTCTGTGGAAAAGGGATCCTCCGCTGTTCGCTAGCGCATAATAATCTACGAAAACAGCTCTACTGGATCGTGTTTACTAGAATCTTCCTTGTGTGTCCTTCGTTGAGTTACACCGCTACGAACACCCGTCCTCACACAAAAATCGAGCAAATTGAAAACGGACCGGTAAGGGAGCGTAGTATATCAGAAGGTTCATTTTGACGAGCTGAACATCATGCTTCCGTCGGATTCCTAGTTTATGCAATCTGAAGAAAGTTATGAACAAAGGACGAAAAAAACGCGGATCGTCAGTTTTTGCGTTTTCTGTCGAAAAATTAGTGTGGGCACTGTAGTTTGCGCGATTCGCGTAATTCCGCAGAAATCCCGGAATGCTTAAAACTCCCAGAACGCTGCGGACTTTCGCAAAACCTCCGGAATCACGACAACAAAGAAAATCTGCACATTTTGTGAGCTATTGTAGATAGCAAAAAATAGAGTAGAGCATGGGACAGTTCATAAAAACTTCGGTACGGAGGCAACCGCCCATGTACACGCATCGTTCACGGGCGTGTGGACTCTGGTAAAAAGATGCTCAAGCACGCCGTTTGTGCCGTTTCGCACCTTAGACCGATCGCCTTCGTGAATCTGGGTCTGTATGTCCATACGCAGAAAACAGAATTGTTCAGCTCATCGTTGAAACTCTTCTCAGACAATCGCTGGGGCAGGCGGGCACCGGAAAAATAGATTGCTGATTTCTCGCACCCGCTCGCGGATTTTTTGCAAAGCAATCAGGACTTTTCGGAAGACCGCTTGCTGAGTCAGCGGAGTTTTGAGAGACCGCCTGTTGAATTTTTTTCGCTCTTATCTTTTGCAGATATATTGCTGAATCTTTGAGAAATCGAGAACTCAGCAAGCGATCTTCCGAAAAGTCCCGATTGCTTTCCACAAAATCCGCGAGCGGGGTGCGAGAGATCAGCAATCTATTTTTCGGGTGCCCGCCTGCCCCCGGCGATTGTCTGGGTTGTTGACAGGCGACTCGGTTCATTCACAATTTATAGAGCGGTGGATTTTTCTGAAGAAAGAGCAACGTTTCCAAAGAGACGGTGTCATGCTCATAGCGATCAATCGATTGCTGCAGTGAGGGATCTATCTACTGCATCGAATGCGCAATTGAATTGAAAAAGCCTGTAGATCAAATACTATAAGAGATGAAGCAATAAAAAATCGCACAGCGTTTTCTAAACTAGATTTCTTACTGTATGTCAGAAAAGATCCAATTTTGTGATATCATCAGTGATAAACGTTAAAATGGTGATATCAATGACAACGACAGATAAGAATGGCTTAAATTCATGCGGTCGATTCCCACGTTCATCTTCCATGTAGGTGCAGAATTTCAGCCCAGGCTTCGGCGTGAAGCGAGTTGAAGCAAAAATGCCATTTTAGGTAAGAATTGGCAGCAGTGGCATGTGCCGATGAGAAATCAATCGATTGCTGCAACGAGGGATCTACCAATTGACCGAACAATAGAACTAGGAAATCCTGTAGATCACTTATAATGAGAGAAAGAGCGATAGAAATTCACACAGCGTTTCCTACACTACTTTTCTTACCATGTGCCAAAATGATCCAATATGATATTATCAGTGATAAATGATAAAATGCTATATCAGTGATAAGGGTAAATAAAAACTGCCCATTTTTTCGCGATAGTTTTAGGTAATGGGAACTTTGTACCGGAACCTCCTATTCGCGTTTTACACAGAGATAGATGTTCACAAAAGCCTTAACATAGAAAATAACAAGGTATCACCATATGTCACCGTGTCAGTATGAATTACGGACTTATTGTATATCAGAAGATTCGTCTCATCAAGCTGAAGCCAAATCTTCACGCAGATTACAAATAAAGCTGTTTTAAAAGAAGTTATAGCTAAATCCCGCTTATCCCGCAAATCCCGCGAATCCCGCAAATCCCGCGAAGTCGCGAATCCCGCGAATCCCGCAAATCCCGCGAAGTCGCGAATCCCGCGAATCCCGACAATCCCGCAGTTTTGGACAAGTTCTACCGCTGCAACTGTACGAGTGCTTATATCATCGGCAA